TTTCGATCACAGGCTGAACCTGTTCTCCGCGCGGCCAGAGGTCCACACCGCTCTGTGTCGTTTCAAAGCCAACCGACCGCGATGTACCTATCGCGACATTTACCCTGTTCGCTAGACGCCGTGCGCCGTTCTTAAGACCGTTTGTAAGAGCTGTCCTCTGATAATCTTTGCTCTCTCAGTTAATTACTTTCAGTTAATTAAAATTTACGACGGCGACATAAAGTCGCGGGTTTTTATGGATTCTTTGGATTTTTATGGACTGTGACTAAAGAAACAGAATAAATTAAATCCGTCATTAAGTTCGTCCCCTCTTGAAAATTCTTGTTCTTCGATAGGTTCCTTTCAGCTCACGTTTCTTCGCGGTGATTGGACTAAGGATATTCATGCATTTTCGCGCAACATAACTAAAGAAATTTCTATTTACCTTGGACATTTTATTTTACTTCGCATGTTTTCCCAGAGATCCGCATTAAAACTCTGCGGTACAGCGTGATTTACGAGAACGATTTTCAGACATTTCGAGAATTTCCTCGCAATTCGCGCGGCGAAACGGTCCATCGAGTAAGTAGAATTTCGACGAGTTTCGAAAATATACACGTACGATCGGTTTCTCGCGTGATTGTCATTCCCATCGCTAGAGGAAACCCGTACCTCTGATACCCACATACCAGTACACACGCGAAACAACACGCACACGCGCCTGCTTCGAAATGCACGCACGACGAACACACCGCGAGCGGTGCATTGTAATTCGTCACAATGACTGCACATCCTGGTGTACTAGTCTTTGGCACAGGTGCGCGATTACCTACGTGTCAACGACAGCCGAACGTCGCGTCGCCTCCGACTAGTGCTACGCGTTCGTCTAGTCGTACATTATACCCTGCATACGCTGGCTTTGGAAAGTGACACAATTTTTCAATGGTATTTCGCGAATCTCGTTGAGGACTTGGCAAGAAAATTTCATACGTTCGGTCGGGAAACTAATCTCTTACCACGTGAATAACTGTGAATAATTGATTGAAACTCGCAGTACCTGTACCTACATCTTTTCACTGAAAGAATCTTTGTTAATGCTTGTCGTCAGTCTTCGTTGAATTTCTAGGCGCACGGCGGCAATACACGATCTCCTTTTGGTTGACGACTAATTGCAAGTAGAATGAACGCCATAAACAGTACGAAAAACAAACGGCAGTGGTATTTTAACACGGTGACTCGAGGCGGACTTTAATTTTGCCTCGATTGTAATTAAATTTATAAGCGTCAATTCAACTTAAATTACAATTGATTGTAATTAAATTTGTAAGTGGCAATCAAATGGATAAGTATAGTAGCTATGTATCAATGAATTCATGTATCATATGTATCATTTTATAGTAGCGTCCTTTTCTTTCTAAGAAATAATGAAGTGTGGTATCAACGCTTATCACGTACCTAATGTAAATTAAATTAATCCGGCATTTAAATTGCCACGTTGATTATTAAACGATGCGCAACTTCTCATGGAAACCTCATATTTCTGAGAATACAGAAAAAAAAATACAAAATCGTTTAAATATTAATCGTGGATTCTACATGCAAATTTCATTTCCTATAAGTGCGTAAGAGTCCACGATCCGTCGTATCTATCTTTTTTAAAGCACGGCGAAAGAATTGAGAACCACTGAATCTCAATATTAAATGCTCGAAGGCTCGTTTACACGTTATAATCTCTCCGGCGAGCATAATTTCGCTTTATCGTTCATCTCATTTCCATAACCGACGATAAATCCTGGATCAAGCGGAAAAACCATCCAATAAAGATTCCGACTCGGGGAATGTGAGAGCTTGGCTCTTCTCGGTCGCTTTTCTACTTACGACTTCGAACCGGCCACGTCCTTCTATCATTCCCTCTCCATCTTTCCTCGATCACGGGTACGAGATTCTAGCAACGCGAGCGCCGAGCTCGCCTTGGCCGTCATCGAATCACAGACATTGACGATCGGCTCGTGCGAGTTCCCCGTTGCGCAATTCGCGCGGGAACCGTGTGAAACTTGAAAATTGTTGTCGTAACGGGCGTCGTAACGCGTATGCGAAACGTCGTGTAAACAAATTGAACCGTAATGCGCGAAACGTCTCGTAAATATAAAAGCCACATTCTGAATGAACATTCTCCTTGCCCTTGAGTCGTGAAATTCATAGTAATTCGATTTTAACTCTCGTATCAGCTTATTTTATTTTGTTATCCCACGTGTTTATAAATTTATAGGAGACATGCCATTTTTCGGAAAAGAACGTCGTAAAATCCATGCAAATTTAGATGATCATTGCGTATCTTGGAGTGGAAGGAATTCGTATTTTGTTATATGAAGATCATATAGTCTTTCACGTGAAATTTATCTACATTTTATATTTCGAGGACGTGAGTTTCGTGTAACGTAATATGACGAATATTATTCAATTAGCGAAACGACGCCGATGCTGTACGCATACGAATTACGCGGTTAGATTGTGCTACGGTGTAAAGCGCGCGTGTAAAGTGTCGTGACGTCTCGCGTATGCGGGCGTCGATGTCTCCGGCTCGAACCGTGGAAGCGGCTGGTCGGACGTCGTAGACGTCCACGCGCGTAATGCGAAGGTACGCTTTTAAAAAAAAAAAAAAAGAGAGAGAGAGAGAGAGAGAAAAACTCAGCACACGTTCTGCATAGGCAATGCATGTATGCTTTCATAGTTACGCGGACACGTCAGACTGTTCCAGCGTAGATTGTCGCTCTGATAAATTGTTGAATCTCATCTAACGGATAAACGCAATAAATCTACGAAGTACGACGACTTTGCGCGTATTAATATTCAATGGTTTCTTTATCTTGGATTATTAACGAGACACTGATGCAAGTGTAAAGGTGAAACAATTGCTCTGAATTATCAAAGGTAAATCTCCATTTCTTTACAATGCATTTATAATGCAGCTATTATCGATTCGATTAAAGGTGATCGCTGTTGCGGTCGGGGAACTTTTATCGAAAAACGGCGGCGAATTAATAAAAATTTTAAATTAACTTAAATACGCATCTGTTTATCTTACGTAGGGATCTGCTTGATCTTTCGCATTATCGGGCCAGGTATTAGTGCGAAAACAGCTGCGTGACGGTGGCAATCGTTGTTAATAAACGTGGAACAATTTCGCCGGATTTATCGCACGATAATCGGCGATTGCCGATTTTGTTGATGAGAATGGCTCGTAAAATTTTTCGGGCCCTTTCAGCCAACGAAACCACGTTTCATTCTGTCTCTGGAGGGAGAGAAATTACGCGTTCCGGTCTTCGTACGTTTAATTGACACACGAGCTGGCTAATGAGTAACATCGCCGGAAAGTAAATTTGCACCTGCGGCGCGTGATAATCGATACGGGGCCATCGACATCGAGCCTCTCGAAACGATCGACCGTGTCTGTACGGCATGGAAAGAAAAAAAAAAAAAAAAAAAAAAAAGAAAAAAGAACGAAAGAAGAAAAAGAAGAAGAAGGGTGCGACGAAAAAGAGGAACCGGTTTGAGTCATTTTTCTAAACCAGTTTAGGATCAGCTTCGTCGGGACCCGTCTACTCACTATACCGTTGTAAAAGAACCACGTCAGGCTATCATCGCGCGCTATGGCCACCGAATAGGCGCCCCAGGCTGAAAACCCAATTAACCTGTCTTCCAATCAATTACATAACCGAACATCAATTTTGTTTCCGAACTTGAAAATTCGAAACACGGAACGCACAAACTCCTGTTGCCTCTTCGTCTTATGGAATATTTAACGTCACTGATCTGACTTTGGCTTCACGAACGATTTAATCGCGTTCGATTTACTACGTAGTTTCGCCAATTATCAAATTCATTTTCCTGTTTAAATCCTGCTGTTCGTGGAAATAACGTGGCGTGGTGTACGCGGAAAACATTGTTTACACGCCGTTGTTCACGCACAATACCGTTGTTCGGTGATGACCGCCGCAAAGAAAGAGTGATCCGTTGTCAATGACAAGCGAGACGAGACGAACATGATCGTTACGCAATTCGTGATAATGAAACAGCTCGCTTTTCTTTTTTTTCTTTTTTTTTTTTCTCGTGTCAGCTCCTATGTAAACCGCAACTAATTACTCTTACTGCTGTTTTGATCATAAAATTGCACGACGATTACTGAAAGAAACGATTATAGCTTTTGACGAAGTTTCGTAACACATTCTTCTACGAATTCTGGTATAAACTTGATCGATCTGTACGCGCTGCTAAGTAAGGAAGCATGGAATTTATCTCTCCTGCAAGCTACCAAGATCATTTAAAAAGAGTGTCAGTTTTCGAATGTTAATGCAACCGAGCGTGGAACAATAACGCATTATGCAAAACACGAGATAATGACAGCGCCACAAATCAAATTTGCAAAGGAACTCCTAAATTGCAACGGCACCTGTGCGCGCCCGACTCGTTTGCACCTGCGGGACTGGCCCAAAATATTCTCGCGCACGCACTTCTCCTTTCTCTCTCTCTCTCTCTCTCTCTCTCTCTCTCTCTCTCTCTCTCTCTTTTCGGACAATCAAGTGCAAGAAAGTAGTCTCACCGAGTCGAAGGAAACCGAGAATTTTAATGAACCGCCGAAACCGGCTTCGCAATCTCCGCTGTGGATCGATATTTATTGCGACACGGAGAAATTGTTACAATTTCTCACGAGCCCATCTTTGATCAATTTGCATTTGCGGTTTCTTCAATTGAACGGACAATTGATGTTTCGTGAAATATTAGAAACTAACGTGCTCGATTGGACATAGATATGTAAAACACATGTTATCGAATAATTTGACACTTTGGTTGTGTCATTGAAATTTTTATCTTCTATTACAGATTTTCGCGTCAAGTGTCTTTCGCCGATAAGAAATTTGCCAAAGTAAATCAAAGCTTTGACTCTCCATCTCTAAGTAAAATTCTCTACGGAGATTTAAGAGTGTTTCAGTGTTAAGCGAAGATAATTGATTGAAACTTACATTGGTGTTTATTCACGATAAGGCTAAGCGGTTCGGATTCACTGTCGAGAGGACTTCCCTTGTCATTACAAGGTGGCGGACTCTTCCCAAGGTGTTGTGCCTCCAGCAGCCTTAGCTGCTGCTGATGTAGCCGGTTCTTGATCAGGAAGATTTTCGGCATCCTGACGGAAGTTGACGCGCGCTAACGTGACACTTCACCCTATAGTTTCACGCCACCATTCCCACGACCGGTAGCAGTTGCGTTCCTTAGAATCATCAACCGCATCAATGATTATTCTTTCAGTCTCTCCGAACGTGCTTCTAATGGTAATCAGGTAATCACTGTCTGTTCTCAAAAGCACCGCAACGTACGGCGAACGTGTGTGTATCACTTTTTTGCCAGCAAAGTAGAATCCCAAGAATTACAGCGATGTCAGTGATCCACAGTAGCAAGCTAGACGTGCTCGCATCTCCAATTAATATCCATCTCGAAGCATTAGAAGAAACATGTTCGTGGCAAGAACATTTGAGTACGAAGCAAATTGAAAATTTCTTCTCTGACCACTGTTTCGATAGTGTTAACGATTCACTGTTAACGATGATGCATGACATTCGCGAAGTCCAGAGATAGATCAGCCTCTCTCTGTTCTCGGTCAGTCCAAGGTCTCTGTCTTTCTTTCTTTCTCTCTTACTGCCTGTCCTTTTCTCTCTTTATTGTCTCTCTCTCCCTCTCTCTCTTTGTCACGGATTTACAGTTATCCTGGACAGAGGCCGCAAATCGACTCGACGCACACGAACGGCCGACCTCTGGTGAACAACTGAAAGGCTTCGCTGTCTCCTCGCTAAGCCGGGCCCCGAGCCCCGTCTCTCCCACCAACGATCGATCTCTCCCCCCACTTCGCTCGGCCCACAGGCCCCCGTTCCCCTACTTGATCGCGACTGGCACGCTATACAGCCCATCCAGATTATTTGGTCGCTTTAGCAAGCGCGCGGGGCCTGCTGGAGATGGAAACCGCTCGCGGGACGGCGCATGCGCGTAACGGAGCATCGTACGTGTGCTGAAGCGTGCGAGGACCCCTCTCCCCTCCACTTCTCGTACCGGTTCCCTCCCGCGTCTCACGTTCGCGTCTCTTTTTAACGGAGACGCGTTTTATCCTGACCGTGTCTCGTCTCTCCTTTTCTTCCCACCTTCTTCCCATTCTCTTCCCCTTATTCTTTTACTCGTCGCTCGAACATTGTCTTTACGGTAGCCGGTTTATTCGCCGTCCGGGATACGGGCCGATATTTTTCGTACACGCTTTTCTCTTTTTTTTTTTTTTTTTTTTTCTTGCGGCGAGCGCGCGAATACGATCGAGTCTGCGCAACGTCGAGTTTTTCCATTCACGCGGCGCGGCGGGTACTTCAAAATTGTCCCCGTTCCTGCGTACAAACCCGTTTTGACGAACGATCTCGGCCGAAAGAGATTTTTAATTATACGATTTTTGTTATGAAACTAGTATAACCAGAGTTCTTTGTTATTAAAGTAGAAGAAGAATCAGAGATATCGACAGGGGCTTATTACGGAATTCCTTTCGAGATCGTGAACGCACGATACGTCGGACTAGGAGTAACGAATATTTCAACGCGCTATACCCGTGAAATGTGTGCAGCGAAGAAAACTTACAACTTCCTCGGTTATACGCCACCTGTGCGATTCGCTGCAATTGCACGCGCGATTCTCCAATAAACGTAGCATGTACCTAGATAGTATACTGGTTTATGATGGATTCGATTCACGATTAAGGCTACGTTCTCGTCTCTGACCACTAACGTCGGTTATGTTGTCAAGCGGTACGCACATAGCGGCTTTGATATGAACTGTGTTAACTGTGTTAGTTACGTTAACACGTAACTTCGTATTTGAGGGGTGTTTTAAATATGTCCCGATTCATCACGATCTTCATTATGTAAATAGAAAAAAAATAAATAAATAAATATTACGTGAAAACGAAGCTGAAGAAGTCTTTAAAGTTTTTTTTTTTTTTAGATTCGAAACAGTCAATAAAAATATTCAACAGATATTGCACAAGCAGCTTGCCATTGCTTTTTAATAAAAATTATACATATTTATTACGTTCGAATATTACACGTGTGATTATGTGCTTGTTTTCGATTTATTATTGGATTCCTATTATTGGATAGCTATTAATACAACTGTTTTAATCATAGGAAATAATAAAACACGCTCGCATTGAAAATAACGCTCGGTTCTAGAAAAACTGTGACATTAGAACTACCGATGATTAAATTATTTATGAAACTTTGTATCAGGCAAATAAGACTGCCTGAGTAAGAAATATAAAAAATAACGATTTATCATACGATAAAGAACGCAAGTAAATCTTCAAAACAATTTTGAGAATTTCTATGAAAGTTCTACTTTGGTAGTCATAATGTTAAAAATTATAGCTAACGCTATTGCGTCAAATTTTTCGTTCGTCTGGTCTACTCGCGTGTTGAATTTCCATCTACACTAGTGGCACAGGTTAACGATTATGGTCGCAGGATTTCACGTAACAAGTTCATTTCCTGCTTCTTACGGCGTCGACTTACAACGGAAATATCTAAGGAATCGGTTTCACAGGTGGTTTCAAAACGACGAGCATTACCATAATGTGACGACGTCGAAGACATCGCGATGTGACTTGTAATGTTATGGAAATATTAGAACTAATTCTAGCGCTTAAAAATTCGTTGTTTATTATATTTATAAATGGAGAAATGAGACAACGAAAGCCACTAATCTTGGAAATCTTGATCTTTCGAATTGAAAAACTTTCAAAAAAAGTTAACAGGTTTTCGTGGAAACTTTTTCAAACTTGGGCGTAGAAACACTTGTTTGAATTTAGGCCAAGAAGCGTCGACGGTGAATTATGTGCTTGGCCACAGCGTGGATTCGGCAGGTATTCCCTCCAATCTCGCCGCATCTCGCTGTATGGGAAACGCAAGATTACGAGAAAAATCCAGCTGAGATCTGGACGTTTACGACCGTCTTCACAGGGGACACACGTCCCCAAGATGGAATCTCGGACAACGCGAAGGGACCACGCGAAGATTTTCCTCTCGATTGGGAAGCTCCTTTGAATGTGAAAAATTCAGACGCGAATAATTCACTTGACCAGACAATTCTTCTTCTTATTTTCGAATCATTTTCTCGGAACTTCAAATAAGTAAAGAACTTCTAGCCTTATATGTCAAATTACAAGAAATCGTTAAGTATCGATAATTCCTTGAATCGATGAGTTTTTAATCAACAAGCTTTGGAATAACATTGCACGTGTGTGTAAATTTATAAAAATTTATAAAAAATTATAAAGACGAGGTATTTTTATTTTTTCCGCGTTCGTCGCAACATGTTCCATTCGTAAGTATTGCGATTTAATACGGAATAAAGAACGGAAAGATTGAAATAATTGTGTTGACAAGTTTTTAACACGAAGTTAAGTAAAGAGATTTTTGAAAAGAATCATGTTGTGACTTTCAGCTGAGAGTTTCAGGCAGAATAAGGTTTTTTGATCCTTTTGAAATGAGATGTAAAGAGCAGGTAACAGGAGTTAAGACGTTCTAAAGAAAAAAATCAGCTTTGTTAAGCGCATAAAGTGCCTCCTTTTCATCTACTCGACTCAATCTTCTACTATCGTATTGGAAATCTATCAATTTAAAAAAATTATACCCAATGATACGTGAAAAAGCAGACAAACCGAAAAATTATACAATATCGTTACGTAAGATTTTTTTGTTTTATACATATTATCCGAGTTGATAGGTTTTTTCTTTTTTTTTTTTTTTTGTTTTTTTGATTCATATTTCCTCTTGGATCGAACAGCATTATGTAAAGTGCAAAGGTATTATAAAATGATATCTGTCTGTCTCTGTCCCACTTACAGGCCAATAGAATTAATAACTCATCCACCCGTGAGGATATATTCATCCGTTTGTATTTTCTTAATGTTACAAGTAACGCCTTATTTGCATTTCAGAGTCTGATATTTCCAGTTATTACAACTCGCGAAGTTATTACATTAAAACATCGACGCCATTATTTGGCTTATTTATTTATCGTATACATGCCTGATAATGTATATCGCGTAAAATAGGTAGGCTAGTAAAAATAATGTACATTGTACGAGCATAAGATCAATTAATTCGTATAATAAAATCTCAGATAACGCGGGACATGTGTAAATAAAATGAACGGATAAATTGACGCGTTACTCTGCACGTTCACGTGATGATTTATTATGCTTACATTCGTCGAGCATCGCTGTTTAGCTTCTGAAAGCGTACGTATCGTTGTCTTTCAACAGTTTTTTTTCCATCCTCTCTTTATTGGAGAAGAATGGTTGATACTTAGAACGAACGTAAGTAGCGAGATCTTTTTACCTTTTGTATTGCAAATTTCGCGTCGCGTTGCATCACACCGTTGCGTTCCGAGCAATTAATTATCGAAGATTGGGAAATACGCGACTATCGCCGTTAGGCACTAATTTTTTTTTCAATGCGATCGTACGATCGTAGAGTTAATTAAAAGAACGCTGATTTATTGCCCTCCGAACGGATATCGATCGACTCGGTCACCCGTGAATCCATCAAAATCCTCAACGGGGAAGAGAGAGGGCCTACTTTCTCCTCTTTAAAACGTTCCCTTCGATTTATCCACATCTTTCTTTGTCTATTGTCTGAATTTCATTTCTTCTCGATTATTGTTGCGTAATTATCATGTATTCGACTAATCATACAGTAGACGTAGTAAGTAATAAATACATGATTAGACAAGTGATCAACTACATTGTCTTTCATAGTTGAAGTTAATACTTATTATCAGTACATATATATATATATATATATATATATTTATTTATTTATTTCTTTATTTCTTTATGAAGATTTGTAATGGTTATTGATATGCGCATAAAAAAGATGCATTTTTTCTCGACTTTTTAAAGAAATTGCAAGTTGTAAATGAAGTAATTGAATAATGATTTTAATATCATACTGATTATTAAGTACAGTAATACTTCGATCAATCGTCGTGATTGAGGGATAACGGGAAAACGGTCCGGATAAATTCAGCGAAGGTTCAACAGATAATCGAAATAAAAATATTTGTCTATATATACACGCGTTTGTTGAGCGACAAAATGGAATATCGAGAAAGAAAATTTGAATACATTATATAAATTGAATGTACATGTATATTACTATACACTTACACACATTAGATAATGGGCATTCGAAAATTTACATAATTAAGACCTCAGTCAATCGAGACGGAGTTAATCTCGCGAATAATCGTCAGACGGTTAATTGAGATTCCACTGTCAGATATGATTTCAACTAACATTAGAAAAAAAAAAAAAAAAAAAAACTAGCTCAATCATGCAAACGTGCTCTCGATAAAGAATTAGCAAGTACATATAGAGTGAACAATGATTTTGTAATATTTCTAGTTGATATCTCTCCTAAACGGCAAGAAATTAAGAACTAGGAACTACTTACTACGTTCGAACTTTTCGAAAATATCCCACCAATCCAGAGATGACGTAGAGATTGAAATCTGACAGCCAATGTGACAAACATAAATGGAGGTGGATATCGGTCCAAGTCTCTCGAACTTCGTTCGAGTCAGCCGTGGCCTATATCCTGTCTATCGATACGATTAGGTAATTCCGAATAATTGCGAACAAACGGGACGGATGATCGCGGTAAATATAAACAAGCATCATCCCTGGTTACTGGCTTGGGCAAGCTCTCCGTTTAAGGTTGACTCAATGTTCCGTCGATTGGTCACCGAGCGGAGAGGAAAAGAGAGATAGAATATATACCGCAGAACCACGTAACAGCAAGCAAAGCGCTACGTCTTGGTCTCCAAC